GTTTCTTTTGGAAAATACAGCTCATGTGATTTGACTACCTTCTACGCAGAGGTTTGTTTCGTATGATTAATGCGATTTAAGAGCTAAGAAATAGCCAGGTATGATAAGAGAGTCTAGTAAAGGTTCCCTCTCCGCTCTTGATCCAGCTCAATGCCTTCAAAAAGCGACTTGAAGTTCCAACTCCAAAGCCCTGCACAACAAGAAGAGAAGACAAGAATAAAAAAATTCACTCTGTTGCATATTCACATGAAAAATGATCAATCTGATATACCAACAACAGTTTGCAACTTCAATATTGGCTACTTTCTGGCCATTCTATGATTGTAAGAAGGAAAGACGATTGAAGGCCAGAAGAGAGTTTTCCTACAACGAGGAGCTCTTCATAGGGCAGTTTTCCATCGATAATCGAATGCGATCCTGGATTGCATTGCGTTTGCTATGCGCCGCTCTGTGATTGATTTAGAAACCTCATGCCATCCTCTCAACCAATCAGAAGCAACACAGACACCAATCACCACTTGGTGACCTGCGTTTTCCCGCGCTTTCCTCGCGCCTCCGCTTTGAGAACTCACTGGCTTCTGAAGATATATTTTTTCGATCTTATTAATGGTTGGAATGTCCTTAGCTCAGAATTTACAGTATTCAGTCGAAGTCCATTTAGTTTTAATTGCCAGAAGAGAAAATACATTGTTAACAATACAACACTCCTCATCAAGGACCCCAGCACCCCACCCCTCCCCTCTCTCACCTGGTGATTGTGCCTCTGTACAACTTCTGAGAATAGTGTTGGTCTGTCCTGCATTGGTTTTGTGAAGATCTGCAGCAGGTAACCATTGTCATCAAAATCGACCAAAATCTTCAGATCTTGGAGCTAGAACATATTTAAGCAGAGCTTACTAAAATTTGGGCCCCTAGCCCAGGAAGCCTGAAACTTGCACCAACCCCCCCCCCCACTCCACCCTCAACCTAAGTTCGTTAACGACTCAAAGTCGATTAACAATCCAAAACAATCCTAAGTACTCATTACTAATTCTCATTACTGTCTTTCATACAATTCTTATGATGTGTGGTTTGGAGAATTTGATATTGGATCAACTAATAATCCCTTGGTTGATATCTTCACTGAAATTCCTCTCCACTGTTTCCATCCCTCCTCCTCCCTCTGGGTCAAAGTTAAAATATCTCACCACATTCAGTTCTTCCTCCACCTTGATGGGTACATATCCTTAAGCCATGCACGAAGATTTTTATGTGTCAGGAATAACGAGAAATTCCATGCCTCTTTCCTTTAAATTCCTTATCTGAGAAAAGTAACCTAACTGTAAGTTTATAACAATCTTTTTACGGAACACACCATTTAGTAAAGTTAATGATTCAGGTTGCAATTGTCACTTACAGCAGAGACGATGTCGGATGTACTGATTGCAATGTGCTGTACTCCTGCTGTTCAATAGCAGTCCAAAAATCCTTCAGTAAGATAAGTATTATAAAGACCAAATGACGACACGAATTTTGTGTGTTGAATTATGCAACAAAAATGCAGCTTTATCAGAGCTACATGAGTATTCCTGGCACTGGTTGCATAAAAGGTTCAGATAAATACTGGGAAATTAACCCACTCCATTCATAATCAGTTTTGCCAGTAGAGTGTAGAGAAGGGAAGAGCCCTCTGTCCCACCCATCCTCATTGTTTGAGCTGTACTGCTAGATTCATCCCCCAAGCCAAGCTATTCCAGCTTGGCTTAGTCAGCTGGTTAATTATACCAATGCCATATCTTAATTCAACTGAGCATGAATGGGAGTGTTGTGAATACCATTGATGTGGTTGGCATTGCTTGAATTTCCCCTGTAGAGGCTAATTCCTTTGGTGTAATCCTAACAGGTCATAAAATAATTCTTTAATGTATCCTGCTTGTGCTGTCAAAATGGCTAGATATTTCATGAGCTATTTACTGACCCTGACTTAAAGTCTCAGAGCATTAAACCCAAATTCAAAATAACAATAATAATAATAGTAATAATAATAATTATTATTATTTTTATTATTATAATAACTTCGCAAATATCCAGTTGTGAGAGAGATTTACCACCACATTTTTGTGAAACAGCAAATGTCGGCTTGCCCTTTCATGTTTCACATAAATAGCATGAACCTTTCTTCTTTAGCTTTGTGAGAGCTTACACCATGGTGGATTTGAGGGCACCCTTGTATAACTCACAAGGAATAGTTTTGGTGCCCTTTTTTCAGCAATTAACTACTCTGTCAGAGATAATAAAAAATTTTCTACATGACGAATGCGAAACAGGTAACTTTCTAATAGAAACGGCAAAGTGCAAACTGCAAACATGAAAAAAATGAAGGGAAAAACATCACATGGTCACTCTTGCTATTCCTGTTTCAGGTAAATGCGGTGCCAAATCTCTCTATTGTGACCCAATGTTTGGTCCATAACCATGCATGTACCTACTTGTATCTGGCTCTTCCTTTTTCCTGGGGCTG